CGTATTTGTTGAGCCCAGATGCTTCCTTCACAGCCCAGGCATAATTATAGCTTGCTAATTTGCTACTTCTTGTCTAACCAGAGGGGTGACTCAATGGTCACAAGGATTTATGAGGTTGTTTTGTAGAAGAATGCCTTTAAGGAAGTTACGACCACTGGATGACCCCACCCAAGCTGCCACTGACCCCAACAAGTCTACTTGCTCAAGGTCTTATCTGAAGTGAAAGAAACATAGATTTCCCCTTCATTTCCCTGAAACTCCATGTCCCAAGGCCCTCAGCCCTATAAAGATCCCCTGTTTTCTCCTTTTGTTAAGGCAGATCTGAGAGAACCTGTTCTCCCGCCTTCTCATTTTGGCCAATTTGAATAAAACTTTATCTACCTCCAAGCATTGGTGTCTCAGTGATTGGTTCCTAGTGTGCTTGGGGCACAGACCTGAAATAAAGAGGCTCAGTATCACAACAGCCATGGAAAATCATCTCCCTTAGTTTCCTCATCTGTAAGACTGTTACCTGTTCTGTCATCCCTTGGTCCATGATTCCGCATAATGCTGAATGCTGATAACAATGATCCTGGGTCATTAAGGTGAAACCATTATCAGTATCCATTTAAGAAGGTGAGGATGTATATAACGCATGTTCTATACAATTTTAAAGCCCCTTTGGATTTAAATGAATATTACACTTAGCTGGAAAATGAATCTCTGGAGATAGCCCATTCCACCATATAATGGCAACAAAATGAGTTCTGGTTCCCTCTCACCCCCTTGCCCCCACTATGAAGAAGGGGAAGGAAGGAGGAAACTTACTTTGTGGCTTCATTATTTTCTAGAGGTAGGAATTTCCATATAACATACATAACAAAATACACATACTCGTAATGAAAGATTCTGAACTGAATTCTTTTTTAAATCCTTAATAATTCTGCACTATTGCAAAACTTTGCTCTTCTCCATCCATTCAAACGTTTATTAAATGCCTATTCTGTTCATGACCCTGTGAAGGACGTATGAAGATGAATAAGAGTAGCTAGGAAATTAAACACATGTATCAAATCTTAAGGAGTGATGGAATAACCAGAGGATCATGTTTCAAGTGAAATGAATGCTTATAAATAAACTGTTTCATATCTTGTTTTGTGAAAGGAGATTGAAAACAGATGCAGATTACATATCGATTTCACTAAAATATTGTATCCACGCAACAATTAAAATCAGAGGATTGACTCTTCACAGCTCATTAACCAGACTTGTTCATTTATATTCCAATATTGTTTCTTACCATAAGGTTCCACAAGCTCCTGCAGTTTTATGCAATGTGCTTACACAGTTGCATAATTTTATGCTGACAAGACAGTGGATCAAAACTCAGAGAAATAATATAAGTGCATACATGACTAGCAGATGCTGGAATCTTCTATGGCTAGGCTTTCTTCTTCAAAATGAGGGTCAGTTGTCATAAGAAGACATTAAGGTATGTTCTCAATGAACTTCAAACTGGAGCAAAGAGGAACACCGTATGACAGAGTAACTGGTTCATTAGGGCAATACTACATAGGTGAGGGTTTTTTGGTTGGTTTTTCATACAATGATTATCTGAATTTTAAGTCATTTATTTAATGCCCAATTAAGATTTCCTTAACTCATCTTTGTATTTCTTCATGTTTACTGCAGTGTAAAAAATATAGTATGAAGTTATTACATTATTTTTAAAGGCTGCCTTGTGCAAACTAATGATTTCAAGCCAGTAGCAGAACCATTTAAATAGCTTTAACTCTCTGGCATAAACGCCGAGGAAACATGGGAACATCTGTTACAGTGATGATCATGCCAGAGGTCTGTGACAACCTACCATGTTTTGATGAAATTTACTACGGATCCAACAACCCTCTAAAATGCAAAAGACCCTTCATGTTTACCAAGATTTTTTTTTTTTTTTAGATCAAAGGCCCAGAAAGTGAAATCATGGCAAAAATATTTAGAACTTCCCCAATAACCAGAAAGAGATAATTAATTCCATATTGATTTTCAAACCCAGTTCCCATAGAACCAGATTCCTGATCCTAATCACAAAGACCTATTCCAATTTTTAATACCTCTTTCTGTCCAGGTATCAAACATAATAACTTTAATGCAAGCCTTTTTATTGAAAGAGTATAGCTTGTTTAGTATCGCTTCCAGGTGATGGGAATAATAACTCCCTAGCCATGAATAAAGCATTTGTATTATATTATCAGGCTGCACTCTTTTGAGCAATCTGAATTTGGGAATGGAAGCCATTAGAAGAGAATTATCAGAGTAGGTAAGAGAATTGACTAAATTGAACTAAACTAATAATGGTGGCAAACAGCCAAAAACCCAAGGTCTCAGTTCTCTAGTTAATAAATAATCACTACTACATTCTGAGTAATATGGTATTCCTGCCATTGAATGAGCCACTTTCCTACCGAACCTTTTATAACTGAGAGGAGGTATGGTTAGGAGTGCCGGCTCTGGAGTCTGACAGAAGGGAGATTCAACCCCTTACTAGTCATGGGATCTTGGGCAACTTATTGAAACTTGCTCTGAGCCTCACATTCCCCATTTGCAGAATCAGGTTAATCCTTTATCATGGCGTGATTATTTCTTATAACTAAATGAAATGTAAAGCTTCTTCACAGGTACTTTATGCTTTGCCACTAGAGATAATCGCCACAAACTTAAAGGAAATGTTCATGCTATTTTGGCCTCAATACCAGTGAGGTGTATCTATTTAAAACATTAAGTTGGATTCTCACAGCAAGAACTTTATCTTATTCATCTTGGTATCCCCAGGAGCTGGCATAAAACCTAACACAGAATACATTATTGTTGACTGATGTAAATTGTGATGTCCATAAACATATTCATGTCATATCCATTGCCAAGTCCTGGTGCCTTTACTTCCAAAACAGCAATTCTGTTCTCCTCTCTTCGTCTCCACCACCAGCACTGTGGTCCAAGATCCAGACACACTCACTATAGTCCTCTCCTAACTGAGGGAACAGCGTCTACTCTGGCTTTCCTCCAGTCTTTTATTTTTCCTTTTCAAGGTCGACTGATCTTTTCCAAGCGTAAACAGATCTTAGCACACTTCAAACACCCCCACCTCTCCTACAATAAATACAAAGTCCCTAACCAGGCCTACAAAGATGTCCATGGTCTGCCTCCTACCCGCCAAGCCCAATCCCGTCTTATTTCAACCCGCCTTCCTTCTATCTCATTCTTCGTTTTCCAGGCACACTGATTTTCTTTCAACCCCTCATATATTCGAATCTCTCTTCCTTTGCTATCTTTCTGCCTAAAGTGTTCTGACTGCTAACCTTCTCCCCAGGTGCTGCATACTTCCTCATCCTTAACATCTCAGCTTAATTTTTGCTTTCCCAGCAAGGCCTTCCCTGACCTTCCTACAAGTCCTTCTAGAACCATGTGTCTCACCTTCAAAGAACTTACCATTTCTTTATGTTCTTATTTAATGAATGTCTGTGTATCTTCCCAACTTAAGTATAGGCTCCACAAGGGGAAGCATTAGTTTTTGTTCCCCAGGTGTCTTGAGTACTCAAAATTTTGTTGAATGAGTGATTCTTATAAACATTAATATTCTTTAGAGATCACTCAAGATCCGTCTCTGCGGTACCCTGAACCAATTTTGAGAAACACTATAACAAAAGAATAGGTGTAGAGTACTTATTGGCATATAAAGTCAAAATAAATAAAATACAAGGGCAATTGGAAGGAGATGCAAAACTTATTCTTTTTCCAAGTTTGAAAATGTGTTTTCTCAGACTTAGAACCTCATTTCTTTCAAGCTGTATGCATATGCTAATTTCATAGCAGGCAAGAATTTCTTCCAGGACCAAAGGCTATGAGGAAGCTTTGCAGGAGAAATTAAAGCACAGCACAATATCGCACGCACCCATGAAATACAATCATTCATACTTCTAAAGGGCTTTTAAAGCATGATAGCTTAATCAGAATATTTTTAGTACAAGTTCTAAATTCTTACCAAATGAATTATCACACCATCTGCAATGAATGCCTGAGTGGCAAGAAGCTGTGTTACAACTTACTTTAAAAAGAAATAAATTCATTTAAGGGAAACAGAAGTGGGTTTCACGGCCCCTTCATTAGACGGCAACATTAAGTTGAGTGAGAAGGTTAGCGCTACATTTTCTACGTGCAATTTAAGAATTATACATTAGTTGTGATACACATCAATTGCAGAATATCAAGCACGCGAGAAGCTAGAATTCTATGCTAAAAGTTTAATGCTTCAAAAATGTGAAGGAAAAAAGTCAGAGGTTGCAGAGATCTGGTAATATTAACAGCAGAAAATGCAGCTATAGACATAAGGAAACCATCTTTTGCTGGGTTGTAAAGAAGTTAAGCAAGGTGACATGGAATAAAACACCTCCGATCAATTCCTGCCTGGGCATCTCTCCGGCACCCTTAGCCCAGCGCTCCAGTAGTTTACCACGCAGGCGCGCTAGCACGGCCTTCTCCCTTCAGCCAAGTCAAGATAAACCTTACGAAACGCGGGGTCCCCGGGAGAGTGGCCAGGGCATCCGGATGGGGTCTTTATTCCATTTTCCCTTGCTGGCCCCATAAAAAATGAAAGGAACGGCTCACCTGGGCAGGGACCACAGCTCCCGCAGCTGCCCCCCAGGCAGGGCCCCCCAGGCTCTGCAGAGCGCTCCCCCGCACGGCCGTCACCGCCTGGCCCGGGCGCACGCGCGCCCGAATTTTCTCTCCATTTAGAGTACAGCCTGGTCCTTCCACCATCTCCGGAGCCGGTACTGTGGCCCACTACTTCTGCGCCATCTCACCGCGCGGGGACGGAACTCCGCGCGCAGGACTTTCAAATCTCCCGCGCGTCCTGCCCCGCCCACTCCCCGCCCACTCTCCGCCCACGCCCCGCCCAGTCGGCCCCCCTCGCTGGTGCGGGCCAGGCCCCCGCGGCGCAAGCGCAGTGACTCACACCTCAGGGTCCGGATGCGGGGTTGTAATGGACTCAATGCCAGCGCAGGGCGAGCGGAGCCCCTCAACCGGGCTCGTCTGTAAGACCAGAGGCAACTGGGACCTGAGAAGCTCCAACCTTCTCTCCTTGGCTTTCAGGTTTTGCACTTGTCCTTGACCTACTCAGTACATCTTGTGACCTTGTCCTCTTATTCTGTCCTAAAATCCCAGGTTGTCTCAGGCAGTCTGGCAGGCCCCTGGTTTCTGTATGTCCTATTTGGACAGGGGTGAGAGGAGAGGGACCGAGGAGAGTTTTTAGAAGAAGCAGCTTTTATTTTTTTCTCTCATAGGTTTAGCATGTCAGAAAATGTGGCTTGAGATGCCAAATATATTTTGGAGTCTATATTAAAAACCCCTTCATTTTTAGATAGCTGAACTAAGTGAGCCCCACCCGAGTTCCTGCATCCGTTCTGTTATGGGATGCCCTGAGATGAATGCTGTTTGAAATTGCTTTGTAGAAGGCAGGGAGCTATGTAAATTTGAGGGTAATGCCTAGCTTTTCAAATTTACACAAAGATGCATATTGTCGACGAAAATAATCCATAACCAATCTATAAATGAAAATTTGGGAGAGTTTATTCTGGGCAAAAATCTGAGGACCATGGCCCAGGGCCTTTCTTCCTGAAGGAAGAAAGGGCACCAAAGAAGTGAGGTGTACAGAGTGGTTATATAGCCCCAAACAGGATGTTTCACATACGAATGAAATGTCCCTTTTACAATAGACTGCTCTGTCGGCACAGCGATTGATGGAAACAGCAGGTAGGTCTGCTGTCTCGGTGGACGCAACAGGGTGGCAGGTCTGTTGTCTGGAGCTGGGTGGTCACAGGTGAGCTGGGTGGTCAAAGGCGAGTGCAGCAATCAGTTCCTAGCCTAAGGAAAGATGCTTATCCCTAAGGAAATGCCAATATGGGGGGAAGTTACACCTTTATCTTAAGGCCATTTGTTCTTGCCATGGGAAATGTTTTAAAGCAGATATACAGTGCGTGCTCAACGGCCACAGTCAGGCCCTTTTGGAAAAAGCAAAGTCAGGCCAAATTAGGTTTACACCAAATGGCTTCCTCATATACTCCAATATATCCTATTGCTTGCCATTTCAATTTGTCAATATATATAAATATATGAAGCTAGTGATTCCATATAATTTTGTAAATAATGAAAAATCTATTCCTTTTTGAAAAAATATAGCACATTAAAAATACGTCAATTTATAAGTGATTTAATAAGCTTAACTACACTGTGCTGTAGTCAAATCACAAGAATATATATACTGGAGACAAATTAGAATATAGTAAAGACATGAATTCAAAGATTTGAAAAGTATGAAATCTTTCTCTTTGTGGGGAGAGATTAGTGGTCAAAAGTTAGCTGGATCAGATTCAGGATTCCTTCTACTTTACAAAGTACTTTGTACTTTTCTTGTTTAATTGTTGTTTACTCTTCTCGGTCAAGTTACTACATGTTCAAGAAAGAATCCTGTCCCAGAGAACCCAAATTCAGTCATAATCTCTGCCCTTTGATGGAAGAAGGTTCTATACACCTTATTCACTTCTACCTTTTTATTATTTATTGCTACCTAACAAGGTATGCCATTTGTTATTTCAAAGTTTCTGCAGGTCACACATTTGGCAGTGGTCCAGCTGGGTGCTTGTTGGTCAGCATTTCTCCAGCGGTTGCAGTCAGGATGTTGGCCAGGGCTGCAGTCTCAGCTAAAGGCTGATTATAGCTAGAGGATCCACTTCTGAGATGGCTTACTTGCATAGCTGTTGGCAGGAGGGCTCGGGTTCTTATCTTATGGGTCTCTCCATAGAGTTGCTTGGCTGTTGTCATGACATGGCAGAAGGCTTCCCCCAGAGTTGGTAATCCAAGAGAGAAGGCAAGGAGAAAGCTATACTGCCATTTATTACCTAGTCTCTGAAGTGACACACCCACACCTTCACTATGTGGATTCGTTAGAATCCATAAGTACAGGCCATAAGAGAGTAGGGGTGGGGAGTTAAGCTTTATCCCTTGAAGGGAGGCATATCAAATAATTTGTGAACATATTTTATAACCATCACAGTCCTCATTAATCTGAGACATCATGGATTTCTCGTTTCTTGTTAGGTGTTGTGTGCTGGTACACAACTGGACCAAAGATAATCTTTGATTAGAATTAGATTTACCATTCCCCAGAGAGCTGGGGAAGAGTTGGGGAGTAATACTGAAGACATTAAGTGACTTCATTGATGTGTCCGGAAAGGCCAAGCCAGATTTTGTTTATATATGACTAGCCTCTTAGTCTTTTGATCCTTCAAATTGGATTTGAACATCCAGTTAAGAGCAAAATCACATGCATTGTGCATCTTCAGTATCTATAAAAAGAGTTGCCTCACCATTGCAAGCAAACCCACTCTGGTGCAGACTCTTGGTACTTTTCAATCTAAACTACGTCGGTAACCTCCTAAAGTGCCGTCTTCCCTGCACTGTCCCCTTCACACTGTTGTCAGAATAATCTTCTTAAGCATAATTTATTCTTAAGTGCTATTGATTAATTGATGACTTTATAAAAATCATCCATAAAATAAAGTATTCCTTTCCTATAGAACTACACATGATTGCTCTAATTCCCAAATAATGTAACATATGTGAAAGCACTTTGAAAGCTATAAAACACGCTACAAATTCAGAATTAAGATAAATTCTATTTGCTATCCCAGAATATACCCTTTCTTTTTGTGTCTAAGCTCATGCTGCTATTCTCACCTTTTTTTAACCTCCTCTTCATCCTATTTATTGAAATTCTCCCAACTTTTAAGTCCTAATTGAATGCATAGCCTCTAAGAAAACTTCCAGATACAGTCTCAATTAATCTCTGATCTTCTGAAGTTGTTTCTTCCATAAATTTACCAAACCTCCCTCGTATTAGAATTAATTGGGTACGTCCCGGTCTCCCACTAGACTTGACTCTCATTCCTTGAAGACAGAAGACTGACTATCCTGCTCATCTTTATACTTTCCATAGCACCTGGGATGCTATTTTGCACATAATAGACATTCAACAAATATTTTTTGAATTGAATTATGATTATTAAGATTGAAAAAACTGGATCTTTTTGTCCCCAAATACCTTGTCTCATCTTTTTAGTGTCATTCTCATAAGTCGAGATTTTATGTTTTCTCAAGTCCCTTCTAAAATAAATGTTAAAAATAGGTCATGCAGTAAGTTGCGATGTGGCATACTTCTTTATTAGATCAATAAGCCAGTCGCCTTGATGTGTTCTTGAGGAAATCAGACCAACTACATGTGCGGTCATTTGTGTCCTTTAGTCTATATGTGTTTATCTTCACAATAAGTCAGGAGAGAAAATATCATCACTATTTTGTATATGACGAAATTCAGTTTCAGACCAGTTGGTATTTTCCATGGTTACATGTAGGGACCAACAAAGACAAAGAAAAGGACCAGTATTTTTTTCACTAACAACACAAGTAAGTGTGGATGAAATAAAGGTGTCTCAAACATTGGAAAAGATGGCTTTTCTCAGGAGCTCAGGTAGCCAATATATAGCATATAGGTACATAGCAGTAGCAGAAAGTGTTGAAAGGGGTAAGAAATTGCCAAAAGGAGTTGAATGGGAGCTAAAAATAAACGTGAATTTTACTTCTGAAGATTTTCATTAATAAAAACATGCTTAATGCTTGCTCTGTGTGAGGCAGAGAGCCAAGCTCTGGGGTACAAAGGGACATAGAGGAGCCTTTGCACACGAAAAATTACAATGTAGTTAAAGAGACTGGCATTAAAAAAATGTAGTAGAAGTAAAAAAGATTGCATACTATGCAGGAAAAAAGGATATAGATACTATGGGAATTCATTGAAGGAACATGTCGCTCAGAATCAGTAGAGTCTAGGGCATGCTCAGAGAAAAGATGGGAACTGAGCCGATCCTTTAAGAAGTGGAGGCCCTAAGCAATAGGAAGGTCACTTAAGGGAATTCTCAGCAAGATGAATGCAGGAAAATATCTGATGTATTTGAGACACGGTGGTTAAAGCAGAAGTGTCAAGCAGGAGGGTAGTGGTAGGTGTAGCTAACATTGGAGCGATTCCTAGGGACCATATTGTGGAGAACCCAGGATAAGGAAGGTTAGAATTTATTTTTCTAGGATAAGAGGCAGCCAATGACATTTTTGAGCAGGTGTGGGGACCCCAACTCCACAAATTCACGATACTTACTAAAACTGAAATCCGGAACTGCATTCAAACTATGGAGAGGAATCTGCTCTGCAATCTGGATCCCTTATTTGCTTATTATTTGTTAATAAATAGATGGATCCCAGTTGCTAATAGGAGGTGGATAGAGTTTCTTACACAAGGCTGAGTTCATAATATTTTGAAGAGTCCTTAGTTCAAAATTCCTCTGTTTTCACTAATAATAATCGCAGATACTTATTTAGTGCTTGTGTTTGCCAGGCAATGTTCAAAGTGTTTTGCAAATACAGACTCTTAATCCTCACAACAACCCCCTGAGGTTAGTACTATTCTTATCTTCATTTTACAAATGAAGGAACTGGGGCACAGAGCAGTTAGGTAACATGCTCAAGGTCACAGAGTTGGGATTCAACCAGGCAAGTCGTGGTCTTAGCCAAATATTTTCAGCAACATCAATTATATTACACTGGCCCTCAACCAAATATTTTTAGCAACAGCTTAAGAAATGGTGGTTTAGAGGAAAAGCAACCTTTTCCTCAGCCTTATATGGGAATTAAAGGCAATTTCAAAAGCTTCTTTTGGCATATTAAGTTTTGACATATTTTGGATAATGAAGCTTTGTTTTTACTCTTTTCCTTACAAGGCCTGAGGGCAGAATTTTTGGCTGGAGTGATAAGAATGTGGCATGGGGGAAATTTCTTTAATTTCTGTGTTTTACATAAATTAACTGAATATACTTAACAAGTAGGGAAATAACATCCATCCTCTCTCAACATCCTCTTAATTTGAGCTCTGGATAGAAAAAACAGTCATTAGTGAACATTATGTGCAGGTGTTTTTGCTGGTATTTACTAAACAGTCTCCAGTTTCTACCCATTAAGAGAAACTTTTAACATGAGACTACCAGAAGAAT